GTGCAATTGTTGCTTTTATGTTGCCAGACCCTAAAGACGGCAAGAGACGGCAAAGCAACATTGTAATTGCATGCGCGCGCGTGCAGTAAGTGCGTCTACGTAGGGGAAAGTGGGGTAAAATGGCCATGGCGGGTAAAATGGCCACTTGCAGTTTTGTTATTATCTGGTGCTTCCACCCAGTAGAGCTCCACGTTACTATACTTGCTTGTCATAACATTGTTGTTAACCAACATGGCGGATTTCTGCGTTGTCGACCAAGTTTTCAACAGCTGAAAGTGTGTTTTCACACGGGACTGATCTAAGGTAAGCATGCAAAACAACTTCTAAACACTATAGAACAACAAACCGACGATATACTACTGATACTGGCAATTAAATCTGATAATTCAGTTATGTCATAATTCCACGTGTTTGTGTACTTGTGATTATTAATTTTTCAACTTTGATGATGCAACACTTATCTGATGCTAATGGGGTAAAATGGCCACATTCTCATGGGGTAAAATAGCCAGGGTGGCCATTTTGCCCCATGCAGTAATGAATTATATTTTGTTGCTCATGTAAACCTTCTGCATTATTTATGTTTCAGAACAGCACCATGCCTAGACATTACGTCCGAAAAACAACCAAGCAGTCCTGGGATGATGAGTCAATGAAACAAGCATTGGTCGCCGTTGAACATGGAACGCCTTATTTGACGGCTGCAAAACAGTTCAACTTCCAGCAGATTAAAAAGAAGAAATCTGTTGAGGATGATGGTAACAGGAAAGGGCTCTGAGCACCATGTGCAGTCAGGAAGATGGCCATGTGGATGCTGTGGGAGAGGAGTGGGAGTGAATTCAGTTTTATGCATAGAGTGTAACAAATGGTGTCACCAAAGATGCACAGGACTGAAAAGTGTAAAGGGAATCCAGAACTTTCGGTGCCCGGTTTGCAGAAGAGGGTATGTCAGGGAGGAAGGTGAAAGAGGACTGAGGACTTCGGGAGGAAACATAGAGGAAGTTCATGAGTTTTGCTATCTGGGTGATATGGTGGACTGTGAGGTGGGTACAGAGAGAAATGTGAGAGTTAGAGTAGCGGCTGCATGGAAGAAATGGAGAGAGATGGCTAGTTTGTTAGTAAACAGAAGTATTCCGTTAAAGATCAGAGGCAATGTCTATGAAGCTTGTATAAGATCCTGATAAACGATCGTTTTGTTACTATGGGGTGTGAAGTGTGGGGCCTATGCACAGAAAGACGCTTGAAGATGTATTGAGAAGATGTGATCAGAAAGATGCGTAAGTACATAGCTGCGCAGGTTAAATGGCAGGCATAGGATATCAGTGAAGAAGTGGCAAAGAGATGCTGGTTACGACGCAGGATACAGGAATAGACACTAGACAGAGAACCGCACTACAAATCGGGTGTGGGCATCGAGCTTAGAAGGCGAGACGGTCAAGGA